TATATATAAACATATAGATGTATACATTTATATATTTTATTCGTATATATATATATATATATTTTTTTTTTTTGCAAGCAAATCAACTTATCAGTAATACTGGCTTATGTCACTGTTTAAAGGACCCTATCTAACTTTACCTTATGCAAAAACAGAATCAAATCTCTGAAGTACATTGAACTTGATGCATTAAACAGTTCTTTTAGATTATTAACCTCATTGAAATATTGGAAGGCATGTCTGGCGGCTGAAAACTTGAACTCGAAAATAAGGTGCTCGTTTGTTTCTTTAACCCGACACACTGTACATAGGTCACTCACATCTCTTTTAAACTTACTCAGATATGTTCTACCGTATGTATAACCTGTCATGATTCTATTTAAAAGTTTTATATCGAACACATCTAACTTATGAACTGGTTTCTCAACCGCTATGCATATAAAGAATATATATATATGTATAAACAAACAGTGTTGCCACTCAAACTTTTTTTCCTACCACAATTGGTACGAAATAGCTCTCAGCCTACTAAAATGTGACTTTCATTGAAAATGTGATTTAAATGTTGTAACATATGTAAGTAGGTTCAACACTTTATTATAACTTTATTATAACAAAATCAAATAAAATTTACTTGTCCATAATTTGTCTTCATGCGCAGCTCTTTTTGGGTAAAATGAAAAAAAAAACGCGAACTCAAAGTCAAGCATTGAAAATTACATATTTTTACTGTTGCTACACGAATTCAAAGCTGTCAACTATTATTTTCTTAAGGGAGAAGAGGGAAATAAAGTACAAATACTGTCCCTGCTCACTCACTCGCTTAAGCGAAATGTAAAATTTGGCATTTGCATAACTAATGTGACCAACCGTACTTCTTTCGGAAGTACAGCACTTCTTTTTTAGCTCTTGTACTTCCCCTGTAGGGAAACGTACTAGTGCGGAACTGGTTCGGTTCTAGTGCGTTTGGAACCATGACCATTACGCGTTAATTCTCTTTTGCATGCTAGCGACTGGCGAATTTAACATTGCGATGTCCTAGGAAGTGTCAATTGTCCCCCGTTGCATCCCTTTGGCTCTAGTTCCGAACCAGTTCTAGATTCGACAGATAAGATCTAGTTCGTTTTGCATCCCTTTTTCTATAGTTCCGAACCAGTTCCAAATTCGACAGATGAGATCTAGTTCGTTCTGCATCCCCTTTTCTTTAGTTCCAAACCAGTTCCTAATTCGAAAGATGAGATCTAGTTCGATCTGCATCCATTTTTTATATGTAGCTCCCAACCTGTTATAAATTCGTCACCTTAGATATATATTTCTAATCGGGCTTGTCGAAACATTTCTTTTTTATATTAATTACGATCGGTTGAAGGAAGGACAATACCATCACAAATGTTTGTACGCATTTATTAAAAATTTATAAACCACATTAGTAGTATTAAACTTAAGTAGTAAGTAAAAAACAAAAGTGCGTTCTGCTTAAAAGTAAAAATATTAGTTCACTTTGTCTACTTGTCTAAATTTAAGCATATTGATTTTTAAGTAAATTCAGTTCTTTTTAAGCTTATTTGTATATGAAGTACTTCGAAAGTTTTTGTCGTACTTAAATAAGATATACAGTCAGTCAATAAAGTTTAGGTACAGGGAAGTTTTTACAATACCGGAAACTATTTTTTAAATATTTTATTTTTCCTTAATTTTTTACAAAAATATGGTTAGTTCTACTCCAAAAGCCCCAAAAACCAGAGTTCCAAACCTTATGCAAAATTAAATAAAATGTAATTAAAACTCCGCAAATTTCCATCCAAATATTGCAATTTGCACTCGTTAGAAAAAAGTTAAGTACGCAGTTTTTTAGCCCATTCAATTCTAGTATAACAAAGTGCAAGTTTGAGGTAGCTCGGACTTACCATTCACATTTAGCAATTTTTTGTTGTTGTTTCCTCATACTAAAATTGAATGGGCTAAAAAACTGAAAACTCAACTTTTTCTAGAGAGCGTAAATAGAAAGTGAATTATTTTAAAGAAATTTTGCAGAATTTTCTTAAATTTTGCACAAGGTTTGGAACTCTGATTTTTGGGGATTTTGTTGTATAATTGACCATATTTTTATAAAAATATTTAAAAAATAGTTGCTGTATTGTAAAATAATCGTTGTACCTAAACTTTATTGACTGACTGTATTAAGGTAGCTGTGCTGGATTGCATAAAAAAAAATTAATTTTTCTTTTCTTAAAAAAAGGTATCTCTGGTGGCTTGAATTTTTAAATAAATTTAGTGAGAAAGTGGTAATTATTTTGACACTTTTTTTTTTAAATGCCTCTTTTTCTGCAACTGCATTGTCTTTCTCAATGTCCTTCAGGATCTTGGCCTTTTTTTATGGAATCACTAAGTATAATGATTATTAAGCAACTCAAAAACTATACCAGCGTGATTACCGACGTATCCTTTTGAGAGGCAGCCGCACCCTTATAAGAGGAATAAAACCCAAACTTTTCAGGTCAAAATTTCAGTAGGTTGCGTCTGTATGGCCTTTTCAATTTTATAAATTATCATTGTTTTTAGGTGGAAAAATAAAACTCAAAATTAATGATAAAATCATAAAATAATTATTATTTATAATCCCAAAAATAAAAATCAAATAATAATTATTTCCGTTTGTGCGAAAAAATAAAACTCATTAATAATTCATAAAACAATGATTAAATGCTGATTTAAATTATCTTACTCATAATGATTACCTTCCCGGCTTTTAAAATTTGAAATAAAATAGTTTAGTGAAAGTACCACATTTCACTGCTTTTGGACTGGTGCGGGCCTAGTTACTATCGGACTGGTTCGTTTTTGGCGAAAAAGAAGTAGTACTGAACTAGAAATTCGGTTCACTAGTTCGGGGTTTCCCTACAGGGTCGTACTTCGAAGTACAGTAAAATGTACTTCTTTGCAATATTTTATACTTCAGCTCCTGTAGTTCTACGATTTTCTGGACGATCAACACATGGCTTGGGCTATAAATTCGTTCAAACCATTAAAGTCGCCGGGGACCGATGGCATCATACTTGCGAACTGCGTGAGGACCGGGTACATCCCCAAGGCTTCGAGAGTAGTCAGTGTTGTGTTTATCCCGAAGGACCGAAAAGGATCTCATGTTTCTGCTAGGGATTTAGGGCCTATCAGTCTCTTTGTTTTCGCTAAAATCGCTCGAGAGATGGATAGACCTGTACATAAGAAAGCGATTCCCCGTGGCTATCTTTCAAGAGCTCAACATGCTTATTGCAACCTCGGTGGATACCACCCTGCACACATTGCTAAAGGGGTCAGAGGAAGCCTTCACGCAGTAGGGGCCTTCCTCGATATCGGGGGAGCCTTCAGCAATGTCACTCCAGAGGCAATATAAAGTCTATTCATAATTTGGGGGTTGAAACCAACCTAATAAGGCTTATCTAGTTACAGCTTACTTTGTGACAGAACTGTCGCGGCGGAATGCGGGCGCGCCTGCACTCAGTGCAGTGACAATATGGGCACTCCGCATATTGGTGTTCTCCCTCCCCTGCTCTACGTTGCAGTTGTAAACGACCTTCTAGGGGACCAGGAACAAGTGGTATGTCGGGTGATCTCCTATGTAGATTATGTGGATCTCTTGGTTAAAGGACGATTTCTGTACACCCTTTTTTTCTGCCTCAAGTTTACCTGGTGCAGGTTACTAGGTGAACAATCAATCCCAGCATAACGGAACTGGTCTTGTTTACCAGTAAGTACAAGATATTCGTTGTGGCCGTTCCCTAGAGTGCGGTTGTTCGTCTGCGGCTCTCATACAGGCTCAGGTACTTAGCCTAACATTGAGAAAAGAGTAAAAAGGCATCGGTTTTCTTGTACTGCTGTAAGGGAGCTATCGGCAAAACATAATTCATTAGCTCTATGCAACCAGATTTAAGCTTATTTTGTTTCACGGAGTCCTTGTCTGGTGGAACCCGCTAGAGAAAGCGACACTTGTAAATAAGGAATGGGTGGAGCATTAGGAACCACAGCTATACTGGCGCTTAACGCCCTGAACACATAGATTACAGCGCTTCCGAAATGCCTGCCAGAAGCTTCTCCTCTGCCTATATTCCCTCAAGAGCTGACTGGGTAGGGAGGGATTACTAAGGATTCCGGACATCTGCAGTGTCTTTCAGGTGGAAATGGATGCACTGTTGGATGGTTGGGCCTAGTGTGAGGTCGGCGGGCGCTAAACTAACACGCATACTTTACTAAATACCTAATAAAATGGGCAAAAGAAAGCGATGCTCCTTTTGTGACATAAAAGAGGAAAATAAGACGTTTTTCCGCTGCAGAAAACGTTTTTATAAGGCACTTTAAAATACTTTTTGCAACGCTAGTAACGAGTGACCCATCGCTACCCTTTAAAGGCGCCGAATACCACGTTACCTCTCAAGAGCTAGTGATGGGGGTTCTGACAGGCCATGGTACGATTGATATTCACTCGGTAAGACTAGGAATTTCAACTGATACCTTTTGTTTTAGCTATCAAAAGGGAAGATGAAGTGGAATCATCTCCATACTTTCTTTTAGACTGTCCACCTTCGCGAGGCTAAGATGGAAGCATTTTGGCTCGCTCTTCTGAACTAACACTGAGTTCTCAGTGATCGAAATTAGCCACATTCGAAATTTTAAATCGACTCGCGGCGTTAACCTAACCCAACCTAACCTGTACTTCTTTGAGCTATGAACTAGTTGGTCACATTATGCATAACAATTGTCCAATTATTTTCTTCTAACTTAAACAAACCCTATGGATTAGAGCACAGTCTAATCACGGAAACATTCAACTTCGGTTCAAGAATAATTTTGACATGTCCCATTTCTCTTTTCCTTTTCACATCATCCTTTACATGTACTCCCGAAAACAGAGATATTTGAAGCCTTATAAAATGAATAAATTATATGATTTGCCTAGTTACCAAAACCCTTCGAAAATCACAACAAACCAACCAACCTACCAAAGCCTTATTTAAGAAATGAAACTACCAACTTTGGTCCAATTGGACCGAAACGGCAACACTGTATTCAACATGCCTTGACCGTAAGGCAGAGAAACACGTAACAGCTAATTCAAAGTATGTAATCCAAAAAGAAGTTTCATTTCATTTGAATAAAGTTTCATTGAAACTGAAAAAGGTTTCATTTATGCCCCTATTACGGTTTACAACTCAACTCCATTTCAGTTGAAAACTTACAATTTGGTATTATCGATAACAACTCAACCTGTCAAAAAATTTTTGGTTGTATTTATATCGTCTTACAACTTTTTTGTGGTATTACCGTTTACCACCCTGTGCTAGTTCGGTTGACAAAAGTATCGAAAATCGACAACTCATTACTAGCAGTTCTTTTGAACAAATTTTTAAGCGAAAATGGAAAGCGGGTAATTAAATTTTTTTAATTTGTCTTAAACCAATATCTTAATCAGGAATTTCTTACAAATTTGTAGAAAAAACAAAGTTACAACAAAACAACAGTTTGAAAAACTAGTTGAGCTGATGGAGAAGCATCCCGAAACTGGACGACGCAAGCCGCAATTTGGAAGCAGCAAAAGTAAAAGCAAGGGATTGTGGGAGCAATTTGCCATAGAGCTAAACAGTTTAGGACCACCAACAAGAACTGCGCACGAGTGGGGACGAGTAAGTAGTAATCATGGAATTAGACCAATACAATAAAAGCGCAATAATTTATTTCTCCTGTAGGTTTGGATACACTATAAGGCAAATTTAAAAAGGAAGCTTGCCAACAATCGCAGCAATATTATTGCAAATGGTGGTGGTCCGTCGCAAGAGGTTTCTTTAAATCCACTAGAAGAAAGTGTTGCGGAACTTATTCAGATAAGGGAACAAGTTGCATCCAGTGGCCGGGCGTTCGGGGTAGAGAATATACCACCGGTGATGGATGGCGAAGAAATAGAAGACGGCTTAGTTGCAGCTTCGTCCATGGTTGATGAGCCCCAGGTAGCAAACATTGAAGATCAGCCCTATTCGTCAGCATCGCGTGTACAAAATCGCCGCAGAAGCTGCAATTTAGAAACTGAGCGTCTAGAGCTCCTAAAAATGCAAGCAGAAACGCAAAAAGAGGTACTAAAAAAATATATAGAATTGAAAAGACGGCGTACAAAAATTACGACATTAATAAAAAATTGCTGCACATAAAGCAACAAAAATATAAATTGTTTGAAAGGCAGGCTAGGGAAGCCCATGAACTACATTTGTTGAAGGCAGAGGTTGAGCAATTAAAAATAGCTAAATTAAGAGGCTATTTGCAAGACGAGAACAGGTCGTGAATGGAGAACTGATGCTTATTTGACAAACATTGAAAGGGTTTTAATTTAATAATTTGAAATGTTTTTTAATTTAATTTTACAACATGAAGTAATATTTTTTTATATTAATTATAAGTTTTGCAATCTCTAATTTTAAGACCACATGAAGTGATATTTTTTTTAAATTAACTATTTTGAAAAACCTAATTTTAAGAGCACATGAAGTGATATTTTTTTAAATTAACTATTTTGAAAAACCTTATTTTAAGAGCACATGAAGTGATATTTTTTTAAATTAACTATTTTGAAAAACCTAATTTTAAGAGCACATGAAGTGATATTTAATGAAAATTAAATATAAGTTATTTAACCATTGAAAATAAAAGAAGAATGAATGAAGTACAAATAATTAAATGTGAGTTAGAGTTTTTTATTTCTATTAAATGGATAACAAAATATTACTGCGAATTCTTCTGGCGGCATCCTCGTCTTCTGTTTCAATGTTTAGGTTTTCATTGCTTAGTTCCATACTTGAAGCGGTTGCAATTTCTTAAGAAAGTTCCACGCGAAAGTGTTGACAAATATTATGCAAAGCGCAGCAAGCGTTCACAATTTGTGTAGATTTTGCTGGTGAATAATGTAAGCCACGCACAGATAAAAGACAACGAAATCGGCTTTTCAATATTCCAATCGTCCGTTCTACAATATTTCGAGCCTTAGAGTGTATTGTATTGTAGCGAGCTTGTGGTGAACCAGCTTCTGCCATGCAGAAAGGAGTCATTAAAAAAGTTTGTAGAGGGTAACCAGCGTCGCCTTTAAGGAATATTTTAAACAATCTATTTTTGTATTAAATACTAATGACCAGTCTTACCTAAAATCCAGGAATTACTTTGTATGTTTCTCTGCAGATGCTCTTTCAAATCGCTTACGTTAAAAACAAAGGAATCGTGATTTGCGCCCGCGTGTGTAGCATCCACATACCGGATAGCCATTTTGTAATCGCAAAGCTTGAAATCAAAATAGATGTCATGACCATTTTCTTTTAAAGTATTATTTGCTTTTTACATTTTCTTACAATCATGACGTTTAAACTGTAGTAGCCTTTCCTGTTTAGATAAAGATGTTGCATTTCTTTTTTTGGTGAAATGATGCGAACGTGAGTCCCATCGATACAACCCACTACTCCGGGGAATCCGCTTTTTGAATAGAATGTAATTTTTGACGCGTTTTGCTCCTCTTCAGTCATTTGGGTTGTAATCCATTTTCCACAAATATGCTGCTCAATTATATTTAAAACCTCCTTAATAACTACAGATATTGTAGGTTGCGCCAGTCCAACATTAAAATCATTTCCACTGCACTTTTGATAACTGCCGTCAGCAAGGAACCTGAGAGTTGCACATAATTTCAATATGGGAGGTACAGCCGTTCCTCGCGCACGTTTCTGGAAATGTTCCTCCATCTCGTTTAGCAAAAAGACAAATGCTTCCTTATTTAAACGAAAGTAGCTTATGAATCTGCAAAAAAACACTATTCAAATGCCATTCATTGTCGCTACAATTTTTCTTACTTGGTGCTTGGAAGTTCCAAAGGATTCGAGTGATCACGAAGCCTTTTCCGTATGCGCAGCACATCAGTTTTGGGATCAACATTTTCATCGTTGTAAAATAAAGCAACGCTTATGTCCATTTTACTTTTTATTTGAAAAAAAAAAACACTCTCTCGTAAACATTAAGTAAAGTATATTTTAATTTTTCGCCACAAAATCATCAGCTGTTTAATTATCTGTCAAATCGTCACTTT